AAGCTTGATCAAAGTCTGTGTCATGCTAGAACAGGCCTGAAGATTGAGCACTCTTAAACAGCCATTAGTGCTGATGGTGCAATATTGGAGGACAAATTTATGGTTGAGCTCTATTCTCTGTGGTTCTGCATTTTATGATATGAACCAGTAATAAATAGCAACCTGCCTAAAAGCAAGTAAAAGTCAGTTCTATGACTGCTGGCTTTAGATATGAATATTGATCTAACCACATAATTTCATTGATGATTATTTGTAATTACTTTGGGACTTTAAGGCAAAATAAAATAAAATAATAATAATAAAAAAAAAATCTAAAAGCCCAAAATAAAATAAATAAAATGAAACACAAAAGAAAAAAAATACACTAAAGATAAAACAATGAAAAAATGACAAAGCACAAAAACAACACACACACACAAACTAAATAAATTGAAACAAAAAACACAAGATAAAACCAAATAAGAAACAAAACAATAATAAAAGAAAATAAAAATAAATTGAAAACCAAACCAAACAGAATAGGTTAAAGGGGTCATATGATGCTTTTTTAAAGATCATTATTTTGTGTATTTGGTGTAACAGAAAATGTTGACATGCTTTAATGTTCAAAAAACACATTATTTTTCAAATACTGTACATTATTGTAGGTCCTCTATGCCCTGCCTCTCTCAAACGCTTCGTTTTCTACAAAGTCTCTCCTTCCGACAAGCGCAGTCTGCTCTGATTGGCCAGCTGACCCAGTGCATTGTGATTGGCCAAACACTTAAAACAAACAAAGAAACAAACAAAAACACTCAACATCACATATAAAATCAACCATGTGACCAACATCAAAGCAAACCAGATACTTATCCGTCCATTTATAGTATACTAAACATCAATGAATGTCTAGACATATGAGCTGTATATATGCAAGGGGACCACATTTTGTATAAACATCCTGGTAGTCCTTGGGACTTCTAAAGAAATATCAATATCTTTTATCAATATCTTTCAGCAGTTTTCTGATCCCTATGATTATCATCTTGATTCTAGATATTTTGAGCTAACCAAAAATGATTAATTGCACAACGTCTACATTTAATAACAAATAGAGAAATGTGTCCTGTAAGTCTGATTTCCATAACAGCGTGCTTCAATGAATGAGCTTATATTGGCTGATGCTGCAGGGTTAAAGGCAGTTTCGCTACCGATGTGCCATGAAATGGCCCTGATCTCAGCAATCAGGAGCTGAATAGGAACTCCTATTGTTAGTGAAAGGCTCATTGGAGAAGGAGAGCTTACGGCTGCAAAATGTCAAATGGATTAAATCGCAGACTGATTGTAACAAAGCGGTATAAATGTGATCCAATATCTAAAGACAGTGCAGCCATCTGTGCAAATTTACATCATCCACAAAAAGGATTCACTGAGAGTACTTCATTATGCTTAACAATACATATGATACTATTATTTTATGAATTCAAATAGTTCCTTAATGTCATTACAGTGATTGGATGAGATTCAGCTTCTAGTCACACACAAAGGTAGATCTGCAAACTTTGAAAACAACAAATGCCACAATAAATCTTGCTGTCAAAGTCCATCTGCTGTCAAGATGACTGGGAAATCACTCTTAAATGCTGTCGGAGTTGCTCCTGTTTTAACTGTAACCATGGAAACAGGCAATCTGTGACCCATGTCAACAAGAGCGGACAAATCCGGTCAATAAAGTTAGTCAATAATATTCCACCTGTATTACAAAGCCACATCTTCAACTGACAACCTCAGTGAGCAGCTCGGTAAGCCACCGCTGCAAACATCCGACTGCAACATGCAGCTGTAAGCAAGCATTGGAGATTGTTGTTGAAACATAAGTAAACCAAGTCTGAGTCAATTAGAAGTTTTGTCCTTGCTAGAAAATGTAATCAGTGCATTTAATGTCACTAAAAGAGGCCGTTTATAAAAACAGCCCTTGGAAATGCTACATGCAGCGTGAAAAAGACTTCACAAAAGCCATTGGCGAAGAGTTCTCAAAGCGACATGCCTCCAAGAGCCCTTACAAAACATCATAATTGATTATGGCAAAAGGATGTCTGAGTCACACAATACTTAAAGCAGCCACTCAGTGTGGGAAGTGTCATACAAGCACTGGCACGCCATACAGCGCTGCTGAGATGTGGGATCATAGATGTGAGTCAATTCATTCTTGACACAAAAGCAGCATCAGCATAGGATGGAGATGTGAAAGAAAAAACAAGTTTCCCAGTAATGTCGAATCAGGCATCTGCTAATGCCAATAACAACCTTGTTTCACAGAGCCTTGTGCAGCCTATGATGACCCTATTAGAATTCAAATGACCCTCTACACATCCCGAATGAGTTGATAACAATATGTGCTGTGGATCTGTCAGATAGTGTGGTGGTAATAGGCTTTGAAGGTTATCTCTATCTGGACATCCACAAAGCACAACAAGTATCGGGCTATTTGCTAACCGATAGTGCTACTGCTACAGCTTGTTTTCCATTTAGAGAGTGAGAGAGAGAGAGAGAGAGGGCGACTGAACACAAATTACCCAGTGTGTGCATCTGCTCTCGTCTGATGCTCTGCCCAGTCGTGTATGGAAAAGGTTCTGGGAGGTTATTTAAAAAATGGGATGCACAAGAAATGCTGCAAATTGGCAAATGGGTTGTGTTTACGAATGACACCTTATGACCACAGGTGTAACACCTTATCACAAAAGGTGTGAAAAGGCCCGCTGTGACATGAAATACAATACATGAATCTGATTGGAAATATTTAAGCTGACAGCATGAGGAATATAATTTTCTGTGATGTTTTGGGCCATTCACACAAACACATTTTTTTTTTGCGTTTAAAACGCAAGAAGCAGGGCAGTGGAATGTAGAGATAGTTTTTAAAGTTTAAATTTTTAAAATTTAATTATAGCAACATTTTTAGAACGCTGTCATATGGGAGATGCTGCTCCAAACCTGTATGACTTTCTTCTGTGGAACACAGGAGGAGAAATTTTGAACAATGTTTCAGCTGTTTTTGTCCATACAATGCAAGTAATTTAGTTTTCTAAAAAAAACAAACAAACAAAAAAAACAAGGTACATCCATACAATTGAGTGTAATGGCTATCCAAAAAGGGTGGAGACTTGGGTCTGTGCAATGGTTGTTGACTGGATCTTGATTGTGGGTATTGCACTCAAAAATGGAGGCAGATCAACTAAAGAAGTCTGGCATACGTCACCAGAAAGAAGGTGGGAAATATGAATTTATATATTTATTATATTTCAAGATCTGAGGTTCATAGCGTTGTTATAAGACACTTCAGTTTCTTTATTATGAAGACACATTCATCATGTCAAAAGACAAAGTTCTCCTAAAGGTTAATAACATATTCCTTTAGAGCAGTGATCCTCAAATCTGGCTCGCGAGATCCACTTTCCTGCAGCTTACAACTCGACCACAAAAACTGATGTCTCAAAAATATTTGAATGAAAAAGTGGATATTTCAACAGAAATATTTGTCAGGGTAGAGTCTTTATTGGAATGCATGCTCTTTGTTTTACACTGAAGACATAAATAACATTTAGATAGGGTTGGAGCTAAACTCCGCAGGAAAGTGGATCACGCGAGCCAGATTTGAGGATCACTGCCTTAGAGAATGGTCTATGATCTAAAAAGAACAAAAACAAGTTTGAAATAGCTGTTTAGTAGCAGTTTTTGAGTCTTTTCACAAGCAAAACATTGTGAAACACAGAAAATAAAATTATGACTTGAAGGTGGTTGTATTGCTTATTACACTGAAAGAAATGATATGGTCCAGGGACTTCTGATATTGAAGGATTATCATATGAATCTGATATTTGAGCAAGACACAGAAAATCAATCTGTGTTTCTATAAGCTCCTGGGATGAAGTGCAAATGATCATTTTTTCATCTATTCTGAGAAAACAAATTTGAAATAATCAGACATGATATGATTCTGTCTGTCTGTCAATTAATCTATCTATCAGAGATAACCATAGGCTACATATTATATATATATATATATAT